GAGTCAGTGTCAGCCACCAGGCTTCTTCTTGTGGGCTTTTATAGGGTCCCACCAGCTCCATCTCACACAGACCACAGCAGGTGGGTTTGGCTCTCAGAGATCAGCCTGTTTAAGGGCGGAGAGAACAAAAAATAACCCCTTCTTCATCCTCAGGGTGAGTATGATGCTGTACTCCACTGACAGTTCCTTCCTCAGCACTCCTCCCATTTTTGATCTTTAACTTCTGTATACACAGTACACATGCACACCACACAAAGTCAGCAAGGCCATTCACCAGCACCCATAACAACGTGAGCCTTCTCCTGACCTGGCAAGTTTATCCTGTCAACAGCAACACATAAAACTACAACCAGCAGAACTATTATCACGAAGGACAATGATTTCACCTTGCATACTGCAGCAAGTCAAGAAGACTATCAACAACCACAAATCCCAACCATACACACAGGGTACCTACTAGGCTGGAGAACACAGATCTAAAATGTAAAGCCCCATTCAAGACATCATCCTGTAATTGCTAGACTTGGTCCTTTGATCCCATTTACCTTGGCACTGCCCAGTCTTCCATGCATGTGGAGTTTGGGAGATGCAGAAACACTTCTTCCCCTCTTCACAACATAAAGTAGCATGTTCAAGGTCAAGTGTAGGTTTATTATGAAGATGTCCCTTGTAGTTCAATGTGGTCTCCTTGAAAACTTGCCAACCTTGTCTGATCACCCTCCCCCCAAACAAAGCTTCAATGAACCTCAATGGTCAACTTGGGGGCTTAAGAGCTACAGAAGTCTGTGTTTAAAGGACACTTGCAGGAATCCAAAGCATTCCATTCGAAGAAGAGGGGCTTGTAAGGTACCCTAAGCACTGCATCCAAGGAGCAGAGGTTCTCTCTTATTCTTAAGCATTCCATCCAAATAAGAGGGGGTTAGAAGGTGTTTCAGGCATTGCATTCCGAAAAGCAGGGGGTTATATGGTAAGCTAAGCATATGCATCCAAAGAAGAGAGGGTACCAAGGTGTCCTATGCATGGCATCCAAAGAAGAGAGGGTATCAAGGTGTCCTAAGCATGGCATCCAAAGAAGAGGGGGCAATACGGTATCCTAAGCTTGGCATTCAGTGAGCAGGGGTTATAAGGCATCCTATGCATTGCATCGAGAGTTGGAAGATCCTGTGAGCAACACAAATGCATGCAACATCCAGGCACTAGAATGAACACAGCAATGGCATCTGACAGCTCGTGTCTCATCCACTGTCTAAACCTGCGCTCCTCCTCTCAGCATCCATCTCACAGTAACTGCAAGAACGTGTAACATCACATCACATTAGCATTGGGAAGCCTTTCAGACACTTGCATGAAATCGTCATCCTCAAGCAGCTAAAGAATCCAGCCCCCCCTCCTGCCCCGAAACGACCCCTGCTTCTCCCATGCACCTACCTTGACTCCCATGGCTTGACATGATCCAAAAATAATCCGTAATCTCACGCATTGCCATAAATCATACATTGACCTTGCTGCTCTGAGACGTGGAACTGCGTTTGTGTGATCTGTTTTATTAATTAGGATGGGATTACACTCCATCGATGGTCGTCTGCTGCCCCCTGCTGGGCGAATTGTAGAATAGCGACCTTCTTGTTCTGTTCGGAGATGTCATCTATATGTAGCTCAGCATCTACATCTACCGTCTATAGAGAGTCACTTCATGGATACCACACTACACAGCTCATTCGTTTCATAGCTTCTGTGTGTTCACATATCAGAACACTAAAATCAGTCTGTTATTTTTCTCACAATATACTCCATGGCCTCTACTCCATGGCCTCTAATCGACTTTTCTGCGGCTTTTGATACTGTTGACCATCACCTCCTCCTAAAAAAATCCACACTCTTGGCCTCCGAGACTCTGCTCTCCTGGAAATTCTGAAGGTCCTCTGCACACTGGTATATAGCTTTTCCAGCAGACTTTGCTATAGATATTTGGTTCATACATATTGCAATACATGTTCAAGCTGGCCAACTGCATCAAAGTAATCCCTCTATGGCCAGACCTACTCTGCTCTGCCTACGCAAATGCTACTGTGGACACAATGCCAATATAGGGGAAAAGAAAGTGGGGGACAACTACCAGGTTTAGGTCTGGCTACTGACCCACAATGCAACAAACAAGATATACCTGTGCTCAAATCCCAATCGCTAGTACATGCATCTATCAGGTGCTAAAGGGGTGTAACCACATATTAACACTGCTATGGTTCTCCTCCTACCTACCGCAGCATTCCGAGCTCCTCCTCTCCTCTCCCCCTTTCTGTAGGGGTCTCTCAAGGTTCTGCCATTGGACCCCTTCTCTTCTCCATCTACACCTCCTCCCTTGGTCACTTGATAAACTCCCATGGATTTAACTACATCTCTATGCTGATGACACACAAATCTATCTTTCTACTCCTCACCTCACCCCTTCAGTCTCCTTGCGCATTACTAACCTAAGTGACATATCGGCATAGATGTCACTCCACTTCCTCAAATGAAATCTTTCCAAAACCAAGTTCATACTATTGCCTCCAGCCCGTGCCCCCCCCCCCCAACTTCTTCATCAAGATCAATAACACAACCATCAGTCCCTCCCCTCATGCCAGGGTGCTAGGTGTAATCCTAGACTCCCATCTGTCCTTTCAGCCCCAAACCCAATCACTGTCCAAATCTTGTAGACTCCACCTCCGCAACATCTCCAAGATACGCCTGTTCCTAACTTCTGAAACTACTAAGCAACTTATTCACTCCCTTGTTATCTCTCGCCTTGACTCATCCACCTTACTAACCATTTCATATCTGCCACCCCTCTCTGCAAATCCCTCCACTGGCTTCACATTGCCCAACGGATAAAACTCAAAACACTAACAATAACTTATAAAGCCATTTGTAACTCTGCCCCAAATTACATCACCAGTCTTGTCTCCAAATATCACCCAAACCGTACTCTCCGCTCCTCACATGACCTCCTGCTCTCTAGCTCCCTTGTCTCCTCCTCCCATGCTCATCTCCAGGACTTCTCCAGAGCTTCTTCCATCCTCTGGAACTCTCTACCCCAATCTATCTGACTATTGCTTACTCTGCTCACTTTTAGGCAATCTCTGAAAACCTCTCTCTTCAGGGAAGAAGCTCTAGCCATGTATAAAACCAAAAAATTAGTTTTGTTTCTAAATCTACCAAATTTCATGTAGTTTGATTCAGTAAATTTGTTCAATTAATTTTCGGGATTCGTTTTGGTAATTCGTATTCGAATTCAATTCGAAAACATTTTGACCAAATTCAAAAAGTCGTTCACATTCGAAATTGGTGCAACCAAATACAAAAAGATTTCAACTGAATTAAAAAAAAGTCGACCAAATCCGAAAAGTAAAACTGGCAATCCACGTGTAGATTTTTGTCTGAGAATATTTGTGTGATTTCCTGTTTGTGGGGTTAAATTGATGTTTGTTTTCGATGGCAGTGACGGAAAAATTTGAAGGGACAGGAAGGAAAACGTTTCTTGATCAAAATAATTGGCGAATGTATTTGGTAATCGTTCAGAAATTACATTCATTTTAAAATCGAATGTTAAAAGCAAAAAGACAATTTTCAAACAACCTTCGTCCAATCAGCAAATGTGCAAAGAATTTTCGTATTACTTTTTGGCCAAAAATCTTCATGTCCATGGCCAGCTTAATGCCCCGTACACGCGATAAGAAAATCGTATGAAAATTTTCATACAAGGACTGAACGTCCGATAATTGGACACAGATTTCGAGAGCTGATCATGACAATTCATGCGACAATATCCGAAGGGACAAGCGTGAAAATTTTTTCTCGTACTATACCAGATCATACGATTTTTGTTTATTCAGTACAGTAGTCATCTGAAAATACAATACAAATACATGACATCACTTTCAAAATTATTTTCTTTCATATGACAATTTTCTTATCTTTAGTAACCTTTTCTCTTTTGCTGTGAGACTAGCAGGCGAAAAAAATGGACCAGTCCTTAAAGCGGAACTTCCCCTTTTGGGTGGAGCTCCGCTTAAAATTTGTTTTTGAAAGTTTGTTCGATTTTGTTTTCGAATTGAATTTCGGACAAATTTTGTTTCGTTATTTTGTATTCTTTTAAATTAGTTATTTTTGTAATTCAGAATTCTGATCCATCCGAATCGCCCAATAATGAAAAAAATTGTCTGAAATTAACTTTGGAATGAAATAAACCGCACATGTCTAGTAAGCTCCAAGGAACAGGGCCCTCCTAACCTTCTTGTATTGAACTCTATCGTTGCTGTATTGTCTCCCTTTATATTGTAAAGCACTGAGCAAATTGTTGGCGCTATATAAATCCTGTATAATAATAATAAATTATTATAATTATGAATATTATTATTATTATTTGGGATTTATACAGTGCCAACAGTTTGCACAGCACTTTAAACAGCTAAATATGCAGATATATTGGGGGCTGTATTACCTGGTCTGTCCATCCAGTCCTGGTTGAACTATAAAAGGAGACCATAAAAGATTGATGAAGTCCTCTTTCTGATCTCTCCTCCTGTCAGCATGTTCCTTGTGAATGGAGGACACGTTTACGGATTTATAAGAGTTTGAAATTATGTAAAATTCAGGTATTTATATTAGTGGCATTTAAAACATATGTAGTGCTATCCCCTTGAGGACTGCTGGATTTTAATGGGTCCTAATCTCTGCACAGCCAGGCAACACGCATTTTCCCCACTTTTTCTCACAGAGTCAGTAAAACTGTCCTTCAGCTTGGTTTTGATGTTTTATTAGGGATTAACAACTTGGATGAGGTCTAGGGGTATATGGGATGTCCAAATAACTGTAAAACATGACGACAACTCAGCAAACACTATACACTGTACGAAAACGTGGACCATAAAATAGCAACTGTCTCTTTAAGGAGCACTGATGTCCCCTTGGTGTACCTCCTTTAAGGACCCCAGATGAATCCTTCCTCTGTCACCTGGCTTTCCTGAGGTTATCCATGGGCAAGGGATTCCAAGATCTGCAGTTAAGTAGTCCTGAATGATAACTAGTTGGGTATTGCACCTGACCGCTCTCCCTTTTCTAGCCCAGGGGGTGAAGAAGTACTCACACCAGGGGCGGACTGACCATTTTGAAACTCGGGCACTACCCAGGGTCAGTAGAGGGCCCCATGAGATGCCCCTGGTACCTTTTTCATAGGCTTTTTTGAGTTTGGGCAAGGACACAAGGGCCCCACGATCCCCTATTGCCCAGGGGTCCCATGAGTTGTCAGTCTGCCCCTGACTCACACTGTCCTGTAGCTTGGTGGGTTGCAGCTGCTTTCAGGCCTTACGCTGAGCTGGCTTCTTCCTTGCTGACAGGATGTCCTCCCTAGAAGATGGTGATACAATGGAGACCCTTCCATCCAGCACCAACCTGAAAGGTAGGCTCCCTCCCTGGGGCCCCCTCTGAGGTTACCCACTCCAGCACCTTCTCTCAATCCATCTTCCAGCCGACTCCAAAAACCCTGCTGCACAGGCTCCCTCACATTTACGGGTTGCTCTTAACCACCATGCCAGGTCTCTTGCCTGGGGATTTTATCTAGCTAAACCTAGAGGTCATTACACACGACATTGTTTTTAAATACATAAATACATTTATTTTTACATAAATGCATAACTGCATTAATAGTTTTTGTTTTGTTTGTTTTTTTTGCCCAGAGGCAAGCTTTAAACTAATCCATACATGCAGTTAGAAGTGATCCTATGTTAGCATTGTGGAATTGCAGTACTGGTGTCCTGGCTTAGTAGGGGCCAATGAATCTTCTTATGGTATTTACTGTATAGAGCAGTGATTAAAGGTGATCAGCACACAAGATCTAAGCCAGTCTATGAAAATTGTCAGCCCTTCTGCTAGTTATGTTGTCAGGGTCACCTTTCCTTGTCAGGCTTGTGATGCTTAATAATGTAAATCAGTTGTAATATAATGGTTATTATTAATTACATGATCTTGAGTAGGAATGAGGTCTGTGATAGTAAATGTCTATAAAGAGAGTTTACTTTAAAAAATGCTGCTGGCATAAAGAAAAGCAGTCTCCAAAACCCCACCATGATGCTCGAATGCCCATTGCTTCTGGAAGACTAGCTCTTTAGGGTTGGAGACCACGCTGGATTGACTCAACCAGTCACTGGTCATGGGTGAGTGGTGGAGTAAGCGATTGAGAAGGTTTCCCTTGCAATGATTTGTGCCAAACTTGGAAGAGGGTGATGGTAAGCCCTTTTTGGGGCCTGGACTGCTACCTTTGGATGTGGCCTTAAGGTTGTTTCCACATGTAAACTAGGAAGAGTATAGAAAGGAGTGCAAGTGATGGTAGGGAGGTGGAGGAGGGCAGTCTAGGGAAATGGTAGCTGGGCTGATTTGTGCAGGATGAGGGGAAAGGGGTGAGCCACTCTGGGAGAAGGAGTGATGCTGGCGGGGAGAGAGGGGAAAAGAGAAGGGGGAGATATCACTGGGGAACTTGACGGCGAAGGGGGAGTCAACATTTCTGGTGGATGGATGGGTAGTTGGTGGCAGGAAAGGTAGTGAGGGGGAAACATGGAGAGAAATAGTACTGACCAGATGGAGTTTCGGCTGTGCTCGCTGAGGCAGGGTTGAGAGAGGCAAAATTGGCGCCATGGGATTTAAAATTACCAGGTGTGGAGGCAGTTTGTGTGCCTATATGGAGGATATCAGATAGATCGCAGGGATATGTGGAAGGGGTATGTTCCTTGACGGGGGGAAACTACCAATGAGACCCACAAGAGGATGTATGTGAAGAGGCTAGAAACTGGGAATAAAGGATGACAAATGAAAGTGTGTGTGTGTGTGGTGTACAAAATGAAAAAAAATCATACATATAACATCCACATATAAGACCAGTGATTAGAGGTACAAAACAAGATAGAAAATACTAGCAACAAGAAAGAGAAACACAAATATACAAAAGAGATGAGTAAAAAAGAGTAATGGTGACTGGAAGTGAAAGAATGAGAATAAATACTACTACTACTAAAAATAGAGAAAAATAAAGATCTAACATAAGTAGGTAGATAAGCCCCCCTTTAATTGCCCCTAACCATCCTACCCCCCCCCCAACCTTCCTTACCCTTACTTGTCATCCCCCCATACCTCTATCATTATGCACAGAACCATTTTTCAGCTCCTGAATTTTTTACTCTTACAGATCTTTTCACTATAGACACACCTGTTTAGGATTCTTCCCCATTTATTAGCATACAGGAACAGGTCAGTCACAAACCAATATTAACATTGTTCTGTTAAGCTAAGGTACTTATAATATGCCTATACATTTTATATTTTATAACAGGTACTTACATAGTGCCATCAATTTACATAGTGCTTTACATATATACTGTACATTCACAGTCCTTAACCCTCAAGGAGCGTATAATCTAAGGTCCCATCTCACATTCATACATACACATATGAGGGGCAGTTTATACAGGAACCAATTAAGTTACCAGCATGTCTTTGTTGCAGTGGAAGAAACCAGAGCTCAACCATGCAGCCACAAGAACAAGCAAACTCCATGCAGGTAGTTCCATGGTTGGGATTCAAACCCAAAATCCTAGTGCCTGACAGGCAGACGTGCTAGCCACTGTTAATTTATTTTTTTTATTTTTTTACTTCTATTACATCATGATTCCATATTAATATCCAATTGTACCATCTAATTTTTATGATATATTTTACACAATCTATTTGAATGATTTCCAAATGATGCTTTTAGTTATCTTTTTTTCCATTTCTATGTATTTATAGATTTTTTTTTATATTTTTGTACACCTTTGTGTTTGTTAAATAGCCTTGAAAAAGGGGGAGTCTTTGTTCCCCTGAAACACATTAACTTGTCAAACTTGTTGCAGTTTCTATTAAACGCCTTCAAACTCACTTCCCAGCTTGTATTACTGGACGATGGAAGCTCCTTTCTATACTCTTCCTGGAAGACTAGCTCTGGTATTGATGAAGATGAAGCTTGGCAGCCCCTAACTGCCTCCTGTATATTCCTGCTGGTCAGTGAGGCAGCCCATCATCATAATGGATGAGCAGGAGGAAAGAGGCCCGACAAGATGGTGGAGTAAAATGAAGTAGAGGAATGGAATGCAAGGTGGTATACAAAGTAAATTAGATTGTTTATAGCAGTCTTTCTGAAGGTTTCAACAACAGAGGAACCCTTAAAAATAATTTGCAGGTCTCAGGGAACCATAGAAAAAAAAAATGTTAACGGCTTACGGTACATAAGCACAATCAGTAAGTTGTAGATAAGAACGTTTATAAATAATAAATGAATAAAACATTTGGCATATCGTTAACACCCCCTGCTCCCTCAGATTTGGAGGAAGACCCCTTTAGTAATAATACAGATATTTATATAGTGCTGTCAATTTATGCAGTGCTTTACATATATATTTGGTACATTCACATCAGTCCCTAACCCTCAAGGAGTGTACAATCTAAGGTCGCTAACTCACATTCATACATACACATACTAGGGCCAACTTTAGACAGGAGCTAATTAAACTACCAGCATGTTTTTGGAGTGTAGGAGGAAACTGGAGTACACGGAGGAAACTCACACAGGCACAGGGAGGACATGCAAACTCCAGGCAGGCGGTGCCATGGTTGGGATTCAAATTGATGACCCTAGTACTGACAGCAGAAGTTCTAACCATTTAGCCACTGTGTTGCCCATTGCTGGTCAATGGAAGAAGGGCTCCTTGAACTGGTAGTCAGTAGAATGGTTCCCTTCCATTAGTGGTTAGTGAAGAAGTAGTTCCTTACACTGGGTGTCAGTTTAGTGCTTCTTTGCATGGATGGACTGTGGTAACAATGCCCCTTACATACAAATAAGAAAAAAAAAATATCGGTTGAACCAGTGGATACTTACCTGAGGTATGAGAGGAGAGGCTCCACTGATCCCATGCTCATGAATCTAACGAGTGACATTGGTGTAGGAACTACGCCAGCACTATCACGTAGGAGATGCACAGCACAAGGAAACATTAGTAACGTCTGTAGGAACCCCAGGTTTCCATGGAACCTTGGTTGAGAAAGGCTTGTTTAAAGGTTCAAATATGCGAACAACACTTTTCATGATTACAGGGGTGCTGTTTTTAAGGTTTTTAATTTCTCCGTACCTTTATAGTCAAAGAAGCTGCCATCTTAGCATCTGTTTGATCTGCAGTTGCAGTGGTGCTGCACGTGATCATTTATGACACCAGTTGTTTTATGGCTTGACAGTTCAGTTGACAGCACAAGCTACTGTGACAGTTATTCACAGCATGCCTTGAATGTAACTGTTTTTGTAAATATTTAAAGTGGTTGTAAACCTCAGACATGAAATATGAACAAAGCATATTCCTCTATAGTGTGTACTTGTCTCAATCCAGAACACGAAGGCTCCATGCACACTGAACGTTTTAATAACGCTGGTAAAGTTAGCTATGTAAAGTTTTTCAGTGGTTTTTAGTGTTTTTGTATTTGCATTTTGCCGCTTCTTTTTGCGTTTGCGGTTTTTAGAGGTTTTTCTTTTTTACCACAAACTTTTTTTGGTCCAAAAACACTGGTTTGCCGCAATTTACCACGCTTTATTGCATTTTTCAGTGTTAGATCTTTTTTACAGCTAAAAAAACTCCTTGAGAAACCCACTAGGTCTGGATTTTTTTTCCAGCGAAAAAACTCCCCTGCCAAAAACCGTTGATTACAGTCTGTGTGCATAGACACATAGGATAACATGCTGGGGAGTTTAACGGCTGTAGAAAAAACCTCAAAAGCCAAAAACCAGCAGCTGTAAAAATGTCCAGTGTGCACAAGGACGAAGTGTAATATCTGTCTGTTCATTCCTCTGCTATCAGCATAAATCACTTCTGACAAATTCTCCTGACACCAAGAAAAAAAAAAAAAACGGTGAAAGGGTAACAGGGGCGGACTGACAACTCATGGGGCTCCCGGGCAATAGGGGATCATGGGGCCCCTGTGTCCTTGCCCAAACTCAAAAAAGCCTATGAAAAAGGTACCAGGGGCATCTCATGGGGCCCTCTACTGACCCCGGGCCCACGGGCAGTGCCCGAGTTTCCAAATGGTCAGTCCGCCCCTGCAGGGTAAGGGACCTCCAGCAGATTGACAGCCTCAGCTGTTTCTGTATGCTGTGTGAAGGGGTTGTGTGTTTTCTCTACAATCAGTTCTCAGAGCTCTCCTCACTGAGCTCTGCAGTGTGTAATTTCAGCTCTCCATCCCCTTTTTTTCTGAACCCTAAAACAAGCTTTATAAATTCTGGACTTTAAACAGCTGTAGAGAAGAGAATACTGCAGATAGACAGGTACAACTTATGTAGGAGGCCAGTCACTTCACTGGGTATATGTGTGAGGGTTTACAACCACTTTAAAATGATGGGTTTAGATCCAATTTAGGATAATATTTCTGCTTTAACTGTTTTTTCCTAATAGGAATGCCTGTTGCAGATTAGTATTACAGCCAGACACAGCCAGACAGCTAGTATTCGGAGTTCATTAGTGTTGGCCTTTATATTTCTCTAAATAAAATATCACTGTTTTTTTCCAAGATAGAATATGGACAAAGATTTGAATATATTTTTCTATAGACTTGTGAACAGATTTCAAAGGTCAGATGGTTGTAATTGAAAATTCAGCTACTGTGTTGTATCTGATTACAGTGTAATCCCTTTTGTGTACTTACAAGGTGGTTCTGATCATTAAAGACTTTTACTCTAAATAAAGTTCATAATCACGAGCTGTAGAAGAGCCAATATTTGAGCAGCTCCTGCACAGAAGGTGTGGCGGTAAGGACAATTATGACCTGTGATTTCGACAGGACTGTATAATTCCCAGATAACTACAGGCTTTATTTCTTGACATTTCCTGTTTTATATCAGTCCAGCTTCACATGGTTTTATTTTTTTTCTTCAAGAAAGGTTTTTTATTAACAATAGGCATATATAAACAGAGCCAAATAACTGAGAAACCAGAAAGAAGTATACAATATAATACAGACTACAGCATCAAATCCTGACAATAAGAGAAATAAAAATGAGCCAGGGAAGGCCAACAAAGACTGGACCTGGACATGGAAGTGATTTTCTGATATTTGTAGAATTCAAAACAGGAAAGCCAGTAACAACTTAAATATTTACATGGATTTTTTGTCCAAGTAAAAGGTTCTTTAATTTAAACTTGGTTATATTGCAGAGGAAATAATTGCATTGAATTGCTTAGTTTACTGTTGAACCCACCTTGGCAATAAAATAGAGGAAAGTTTTAACAAGCCATTTCTACTGTATATAGTCTACACATTTAAAGGGAGAGCCCAAGCATAAATTAACTTTTGCACAACAGGGAATTCTAAAATATAGTGTTGATTCCTATGTGCTTATAAAATTACTTATATATCCTTTTAAAGTGAACTTTGTTATTATTGTTGCTGTTCCTTACTACTGTTATTCTTTAGAGCAGACCTTCACCTCCTTTTTTTCTCCCACCCTCCTTATATAAAATCACAATTATATTTTTTAGGTGGGGAATACATTTTTCAGTGTTCAGACAGCACTTCTAGTTTTCTTCCTTGAGAGCGAATGATGTCTCCTGCTGCCTGGTGCATCCATCCAAGAGCTGTGGCGCATCTTCAGGGAACCAGACAGTATCTAGAACACTATGGAGCAGGGTCGGACTGACCATTTGGAAACTCAAGGGCCCGGGGTCAGTAGGGGGCCCCATGAGATGCCCCTGGTATCTTTTTCATAGGCTTTGAGTTTGGGCAAGGACACAGGGGCCCCATGATCCCCTATTGCCCGGGGCCCCATGAGGTGTCAGTCCGCCCCTGCTATGGAGTTGATTTACTAAAACTGGTGCACTCGGAATGCAGCTGTGCATGGTAGCCAATCAGGTTCTAAAGTCAGCTTGTTCAATTAAGCTTTGGCAATAAAACATGGAAGCTGATTGGCTTCTATGCAACAGATTTTGTACATTCCAGTTTTAGTAAATCAACCCCATTGTGTGTGAACTGTGGTGCATGTTCAGGGAATCATTTAGGATCTAGAACACATTGTGTGTGAGCTGTGATGTGTTTTCAGGGAACCAGACAGTATCTAGAACACATTATACATGAGCTGTGGTGGGTCTTCAGGGAACCGGCCAGTATCTTGAACACATTGTACATGAACCGTGGTGGGTCTTAAGGAAACCAACTGAAATCTAGAATACATGAGCTGTTGTGGGTCTTCAGGGAACCAGTTAGTATCTAGAACACATTGTACAGGAGATGTGGTGGGTCATTAGGGAACCTGCCAGTGTATAGAACACATTGTGCATGAGCTCTGGTGGGTAATCAGGGAACCAGCTGGTATCTAGAACACAATGTACATGAGCTGTGGTGCATCTTCAGGGAACCAGCCAGTATCTAGAACACATTGTGTGTAAACTGGGGTGGTTCTTCAGGGGGATGGCTGCAAGAACCTGGAAAACACACTCAGCTGTTGCTACTACAGTAATGGCCACTAGCTTCTGGGTCCCATGCGGAGTGGCTGCCCTGCTGCTTAATGAATGCAAGAGATCACTCGCTCTTCACAGGCGCCAATCAGAGAACACTTTGTATTATCTCAATGAATGCAATGTGGTCTTGATTGGACAAGATGGAGATTGTGACATCACTGCCCCATGTCTCCACCTTGTTCAACTATTGATAAAATCCAAACTGTTCTTTGAGTGATGTCTGTGCTGTACAATTGACCTTGTGTGTTCAGTAAGCAGCAGGGCAGCCACTCAGCAAGGGACTAGGAAGCTAGCAGTGCCTACAACAGTGATTTCCAGCTTCCATGTGGATTGCCCAGGTATGACACATGCATATTTACATTGGTCCAAGTTGGACTAATGTAACTAGGCAAACATATGCATACTTAATGGAAAGAAAAGGCTAATTATAGCTTTGCTTAAATTCTCCCTCCCCGTCCTCCTATCTATCCTGCATACACTATTAAAAAGATTTGTGTACTTATGTATTGTTAATCTTGTTGGGCCACAAGATCCAGCAGCTCCAGCAATTCTGTGTCAGTTTGCAGCTACTGCAGGAGAGAGGAGAAAGCACTGGGTCATGGGAGCCTATAAATGCTGTCACAGCGTCCAGAAATTACAGCCATTGTCCATCGTTTTCCTGTAGCCAGAGCTGAATCAAGCAATTGGACTGGATTAAAAATAGGTAAGTAAACATATCTTTTTTATACAGGGTATGCAAGATAGTAAGAAGGAGGGGGAAGGGAATGTTTTTAAGAATAGTTAGAGTTAGCCCCTGCTACCACCTGAAACTTCAGCTCTAAAAAGGATAAGTAGGGTCAAATATCTTTTTTGGCCATACTTCTCCTTTGGGTCACAGGAGTGCACTTCATTTTGCACTCCTGTGCCCCATATTCAGCTAACAGCAGGCTAAAGTCCTCTGCTGGTTCAGACTCTGGAGGGATCCACCCAAATGCTTGAATGGCAGCTGGGTCAACCTCTCAGCGAACCACTAAAAACCTGAGCAGACAGCGGTGATTGACAGTCACCGGTTCTCTGCTAACTGAAGACCAAGAGCTGAGCAATCAGCAGTCGATGCTTGTTTTTTGTGGTTTTTTTAGTGCCATTTACAAACTCAAGCAAAACAGATAAAAAAAGTTGGAAGTTCCTGTCCAACCAACCTTCGAACTCTCACAAACAGAGGAACACTAGGTACAGTAGATAAGAGAGAAGGCAGCAGCTGGAGGTGATGTGAGCTGCCTATTCATTAAAGAATGGAATTATTAGCGCTGAGAGAAAAAATGGATGGCCAGTAGTGATGGGCTGCATGTTCGAGTCAAACTTAAGTTCGACTCAAACAAGGGCCGTTCATGTGTTCGCTGAACACATGAATGGTATGGGCGTTCAGCGGGCTAGTAGCCCACCGCGTCCCACAATGCACTGCGCCGACAGTACATTGTGATTGGCCAAAGCATTGCACCTGACCACACACAACGTCACAAGGGGGCAGGGTGATCCCGCCCTTGTGACATCATCACCCTATTTAAGAACTGTCATTGCTGAGCAACTGTCAGACAGTCGGGAACGTTGAGAGCGGAACAGATTTTTTTTTTCTTTTTCCCAGTTGAAGGCGGGCATCGTGGTTAGCGTAGGATCTACTTCAGGGGACATTTTTAATAAAGGACTTTTCAAAGACTGTCCTTTTTAACACTAAACTTTTTTTTTATGAATGGGTAGCTATACCATGTATCGCATAATCATTCACATGGAGGGAGAGGTCAGGATCTGGGGGCCCCCTTGTTGAAGGGGGCTTCCAGATTCTGATAAGCCTCCGCGCTCGCAGACCCCCACAACCCTGCCCACCGTCCAAAAGCACCCCCCCTAGTTGAGGACACGTGGCCTGGTATGGTTCGGGAGGGGGGCGCTCGCTCATCTGCCCCTACTTTTTTGACCTACCAGGCTGCATGCTCAGATAAGGGTCTGGTATGGTTTTTGAGAGAGACCCCCATGTCATTGTTTTTAAAATTTTGGTGTGGGGGGGGTCCCCTCAAAATCCATACCAGACCCAAAGGGCTTGGTATGCATGGGAGGGGGGACCCTATGCCATTTTTTTTAATTGTCGGGCAATTCCAACAATTCTTTTGACATTGAATGAATGTTTCATTACTAAAATACTGCATGATTTAATAATATAATTCATGTGGTATTTTAGTAACTGACTGGTATCTTACCGCATACTCAGATCTCCATGATAATATAGCTCCCTCTAGCTTAGCTAGGTAGGATTTTCTGTTAGACAGAGGTTGGGTAGCAGCCTGGGAGTGAGGCAGGAGCCCACCTCAGGACAAGCTGGGAGGCTCTACAGGCTGGGGCTTCTGGAGCCATCCCACCCTTCCAGAGAAATTTCTGGAAGAGGGTCAGAGCAGAGGAGGAAGCCTAGATCTTCATGTTTAAGGGAACTTGGCCAATCCCCAGGCAAGAGATCGGGCATGGTGACCAAGGAGGACAACCCTTAAATGTGGAAGAGCCTGAGCATCAGGGGAGTCGGGTGGAAGATGGACTGAAGGAAAGTGCTGGAGTGTGGAGCCTGGGAGGGGGCCCCAGGGAGCGGCGCCTAACTACAGGCAGGATGCTGGAAAGGAGGCTCTCCACTGTCCAAGATCTCTTAGAGAGGACATCCTGAGCTTCAGGGAAGGAGCTGGCCCAGCAAAAGGCCTGAAAGCAGCTACCAACCCACCACGCTAACTGGACAGGACAGTGTGAGTACTCCTACACCCCCTGGGCCAGATAAAGGGAGAGGGCGGTCAGGTGCAAGACCCAACTAGTTATCTGGGATTACTTCATTGTTAGATCTTGGAATCCCTTGTCCACCCTCAGTGCAGCCAGGTGAGGAGGAAGGATTCATCTGAGGTGGTATACCAAGGGGGCTTAGAGCTCTCTAAGAGAGATAGTGCTCTATTTGCTATTTTCAGAATCCACGTCTTTTTGTAAAGTGTACAGGTTGCTAAGAAGTTTTTCCTCAGGTCTACAGTTCCTTGGGCATCCCGTATACCTCTAGATCCCATCCAAGTTGTTAACCCTTAATAAAAACTAAAAACAAGCTCAAGGACTGTTTACTGACTACAAGCTTGGAAAATGTGTGTAGCCTGGCTGCGCAGATCTTATGGGGACCCAGAGAAAATCTGGTGGCCCCTCAAGAGGGTAGTGCTACAGTACAAACACCAGGTAATATTTTTTTTCCATTTTTTTTTAAATTTTTAATCAAAGTTCCAAAAAAACAGCTATTAAACATTTTAAAAGAAAAACATTAAAGAAAAGCGAACACTGTCTTCAGCAGTTGGGCCATTCCAGGCCCACTGAGGATACACCACTACACTCAAAAACATACCTCCAAAACAAAAAGGAAAGAAGAAAAAAATACTAAAAAGGCCAAGCAATACAGCTGACTGGGTACCATCCAAGCACTATACCACTTGAAGCAGTAAAAGAATGCATTTTCACTGAAGGGGGTATCAATTCAGGAAAAAAATACCATGGTAGGAAATTAGGCATAAAACCCAGTCGGACTTTGAGCATCACAAAGCTGCCCTTGGAGTAATATACAGGGCATGCCACAGGATACTTTGCACACAGGTAATACTCTTTAAAGACAGATTTCCTTTAAATCATTGGGACATATTGTTGTGTCAGTCTGGTCAATGTAAGTAAAGATCACAGTTGCTCAGCAGTGTTCTCTGTACTGTACTGGCAACGTATTGAAAATGTATTACTTTGACATCTTTTAATTTTCCTTCACATCAGTTTCATCCCAAGATCCAGTAGGCCTCCCATCCTTCGTTATAGCCTACTTATCTATGGACAGTCCACATTGACAGAATACAACGTAAATCTCCAATACACTGATCATAATGACAGATGTCTGGCATGAATTCTATAACACGTCTAATACTGCCATATAAGGAAGACAATAATGACCTACATTACAGAAGACAGATGGGAGCTAAGTACAGCATTAGACACACAATGACATTCTCCTCTGAACTGCCCCCATCCTAACAGACCATCACAAGTGTGCATATAAGTCATGGCCAACTCACCCAGACATTATATTGTCTACATACTAGGGGCCATACCAACCAAGGAGAGTCAAAATATTAGCTTTTTTTAAATAAATCCAAAAAAATGTGTTTATCTCATCTTACATTTTTTTTTGTGTGTGTGTGTTCATAGTCCACTGCTGCTGTTTTAAGTGAACACGGGTACATTGGGGTACGTGAGAAAGTACGCCTTTAGTAAAACCACTATCATTTGGCACTG